CGAGATGTGTATCATCTAGGCCGAGATGTTATTAGTTAAGCGACCTAGATCTTTGATCCTTGCACCTAGTGATCTTGTTCCGGGACTGGTATGACCTAAACCGAGGTGTGGCACAGCTAGGTCAAGTGTTATCCTTCCTAGCCGAGATCATTGGGACCTTACTTGCCGAAGCCTATGTCCTAATCCGAGATCATTGCCTTGTCAGAGTGCCCATGCCATCTTACTTGTTGTACACACTTTGTCATATCCTTGTCTTTTCATTCTGGCACTTTTTTGAGGAGATCCAATCCGGCGATGCCACGTGTCCCAGCAGAGGGTTAAGCCAGCTAGCAGTGAGAAACTCACATCATTTGTCATATCTTCGCCTTTAAAGAGAGAGAAGCTCTACGAAGAGGAAGAGAAGTTCTTAGAGTGAGAGAGCTAGATTCCAAGCTTGATTCTTAGAGTTTGAACCGTTAGATTCGTGTTTTGAGGTTAGATTCTTGATCTACTCTGATTATTCTTTATATATATATGATCATGTTGCATGATCTAGCATGCTTCATGAGCCATGCATTGATTTAAAGTTTGTTTTAGAAAGAGAAAATGATGTTCATGTGTTCTTGAAGAAAAACCATGTTTTGATCCGAAAGTTTGTATCAAGATCCATATTTTTGTGTTTGTTTTCATGAAATCTCCAAGTACAGGTACCCAAGTCCATGTTTTTGAACTCATCTCATGAAATCTCAGATTTTGAATAAAGAAGTTATGATTTTAGCATTCATATTCTTCATGTTCATCAAGGGGGAAAACCCAAATTTCCAGACTTCATTTCCCTAAGTGTGGTCACCGAGACCACTCGTGCCTAGATTTCACACCTAGGCCAAACATCGTATCTCACCCTGGCCTACCTTGCATGATCACTTGCACCTTAGCCTATCTTGCATGCACACCTAGGCCAACCACTACACACTTAGGCCAACCATGGTACACCCTTACCGGCACCTTGTAACATCTCGGCAGGCAGCCGCACACCTAGGCCTAGGAGACCACACCTCCGCCAAGAGGTGTGGGACCTTGGCCAAGACTCCCTGAGTTCACCCAGCTAGGCCATTTTTTCCTAGATCATTTCTGTGCATCCATTCCAAGACCTGGCTGGTACCCAGCATGTTTTCCCTAGAAGAAAAACAGTATTTTAACTCCCAGCACATGTTTTGCTTTGTCTTGACTTGGTTTTAGAAAGAAATGTCGGGATCATTTTCACTCATGTAAAGCTTGTTTTAAGAATGCATGGCACAACCATCTTTGAGCATTCCTTTTTGTCTTCTTGAAATGCATTTAGTAGTCTTTGTTATGTGATTTGTAGGTCTTGGATCCTTGCCTTAATCCTTACACCCGAAGAGTTATGTGAGTGGTATTTTTAATAAAGTTATGTTATAATGTTTTGATAAAAGCTTTGTTTTGCTTTGTTTTGGAAAAGTATTTGACCAAACATGAATGACTATCCCTAGTTTTTGTATCAAGTATTATGTTGTTTTGATGACATTCTTAGAACGTCCTTTCGTGCTAGGGGACGTTAAGCCTATGCAGCACCTTTGTTGAGATATCTCTTTTGCCACCGACGGTCTTGTACAGGTGGGTTTGTCTAATCGATCTCTGGTCGGCCACCGACGGTCGTGAGCGAGTGTGCTTTGATTCCAAGACGATTATTCCCTTGTTTTGCCACCGACGGTTTTCCGGGTCGGTTGTCTAACCGATTCCAGGTCGGCCACCGACGGTCGTGAATGGGTGTGCTTCAATTCCGGGACGGTTATTCCCTTGTTTTGTCCGGAATGTCATCCTTTGGTATTATGTAGATGTTATTAACATCCAAGAAATTTTGAAAGACTTTGATTGACGAACTTGATTCATCCCATGTTTTGTACAAGTTATTATATGTATTGTTTTGATAAAGATCTCGGATATCATTCATTCAAACCTTTATTACTAATATCATTCACTGAATATCCAAGCTCACCCTCTCCTTATATATATGTAGGTGACGAGTAAGAAGGCGATGACGCCTAAGATGTTATGTGCAAGATGTTTTGATTCATATTTTGTATCATCTTGAAGATTATGCTTCTTAGTTTGTAACTCATTTCTTTTATATATTTCAGCTTGAGAAGCCTTTTGATCAAGACGTAATATTTAGTTTTAATTCATTTGTATTCAAGTTGTAAACCATGTTAAAATGTATATCATTTCATTTAATCTATGCACAGCTCTTATGGACTACTTAGATCTAAATTTGCTTCCGCACATGTAGGCCCCGTATATTCATGCTCTGATTACTGGCCATCACGACACCATTCTACTAGGGCCGGAATGGGGTCGTGACAGATTTAGCATTGCAATAAGAGATGGGTTTGCTAATCCAATTTTACGAAATCGTTGATGAGAATACTATTTTGTCATCCATTTTATAAAAAAAATAAAGTCACATTTTATATAATAAGCTTTTTTATATAATTATATATATAATATAAAAAATGGTGATAAATTCAATTTAAAGAGTGGCTAGGTATTAGGTTCAATAAATTTTTTTTATTGATAAGAAATCCATGTTTTGTAAAATAATTTGAGGAGAAGTCCTATAGGACATTTTGTTTTCAATTTTATCCATTGACTTTTTTTTTTTTTTATCTATTAGACTTTTCATTTCCTATTTGTTCAAATTTTTTCCTATCTGTTCAAATTTTTAACCCTATCTGTTTAATTTTTTTAACCTTTTCAATTCAAATTTCTCATATCTATTTAAATATTTGTCCAAATAAAATTCTATCTGTCCAATTTTTTATTTATTTGTTCAATTTCCACCCTATTTGAACAAATCTGTTATCTTATCCGTTGAAAATCAACTATAATAGATCTGTTTAAAAATTAAAATAACAAACCAAAAAAAAAAAATCTATCTATCCAAATTTATATGTTCAAATTCAACAACAACAAGAAGCAAACAAAATTTATCCGGCCGTGCTTCAGGGCCCGAAAATTGGGGGCTCGAATGCCCCCAATTTCTATTTAAGGTAAAAAAAAAAAAAAAAAAAAAGAAAAAGAAAAAAGAAAGAAAAAAAGAAAACAGTTTCCAAAAATGGAAATTAGGGGGATTAGGGGCAAGTTTTTTAGGGCCACCAATCATTTTCCAAATTTATCAATACAAAAAAAATTTATAGGGTAAATTACACTAACACCCCTTGAGGTTTATATTTATTACAGTTCTTCCGCTCACATTTCGAAAATTACACTAACCCCCTTTATTAATTTAATTTTATGTATGATGATCATTACGGTGAGGGGGGAAACTATTAGGAAACTATTATGAAACTTTAAATTTTAGGGAACAATCTATAATAAAACTTTAAACCTCTAAGAGGGGGATATAATTTTCAAAATGTGAAAAAAGAACTGTAATAAATATAAATCTCATGAGGTGTCAACGTGATTTATCCAAATTTATATCTATTCAATAACGTTGGACTCAATAGGGTCCCACAGCACAGCAAGAGTGTTGCCGTAGTGTTGAGCATGATATAAAGACATTAATCATGTGTTTGTCAGCAGCTATGGAAATTATTCAATAATTTCATAATATTACGTTGTCATATTTTAAGTTAATTATCAATTATTTAATCTTATATTATTTTTCATCCCCAACATAAATCATAAATTTTAATCATTCTCTATCCATCAAAACTTTTTAAAATACCACGCGCGAATGAATAATCACCCAGCTAAAGCAACCCATATAAAAGTATATTATTCATTTGGCCGAAGCAACTATCTCTTCTTGAGCCGGAATAAACTTACCTCCTTGGGCCGAAGTAACTTTGTCTCCCCAAGGCCGGAGTAACCTTGCCCTCTAGGCCTGAGTATTCAGTACGGCCTTTTTACCTAGTCCTCCGCGTTTTGGGCCTCAAAACCCAACTCGAAGCTCGGCCCATTTTTCCCAAAAATTACCCTCTTAGTGATAAATTCAATTTAAAGAGTGGCTAGGCATTAGGTTCAATAAATATTTTTTATTGATAACAAATCCATGTGTTTGTAAAATAATTTGAGGAGAAGTCCTATAGGACATTTTGTTTTCAGTTTTACCCATTGACCTTTTTTTTTTATTTATTTGACTTTTCATTTGTTATTTGTTCAAATTTTTTCCTATCTGTTCAAATTTTTAACCCTATCTGTTTAATTTTTTAACCTTTTCAATTCAAATTTCTCTTATCTATTTAAATATTTGTCCAAATAAAATTCTATCTGTCCAATTTTTTTTATCTATTTGTTCAATTTCCACCCATTTGACCAAATCTTTTTTCTTACCCGTTGAAAATCAACTATAATAGATCTGTTTAAAAATTAAAATAACAAACAAAAAAAAAAATTCTATCTATCCGAATTTATCTGTTCAAATTCAACAACAACAAACAAACAAAATTTATCAATACAAAAAAATTTATAGGGTAAATTACAGTAACACCCCTTGAGATTTATATTTATTACAGTTCCTTCCCTCACATTTGAAAAATTACACTAACTCCCCCTTGTTAATTTAATTTTATGTATGATGATTATTACGGTGAGGGGGGAAACTGTTATGAAACTTTAAATTTCATAAAACAATCTATAATGAAACTTTAAACATCTAAGAACGGTATATAATTTTTAAAATGTAAGAAAAGAACTGTAATAAATATAAATATTAAGAAGTGTCAATATAATTTAACTAAATTTATATCTATTCAATAATGTTGGACAGCACAGCACAGCAAGGGTGTTGCCGTAGTGTTGGGCATGACATAAAGACATTAATCATGTGTTTGTCAGCAGCTATGGAAATTATTCAATAATTTCACAATATTACGTTGTCATATTTTAAATTAATTATTAATTATTTAATTTTATATTATTTTTTATCCCTAACATAAATCATAAATTTTAATCATTTTCTATCCGTCAAAACTTTTTAAAATATTGTGTATCCATGCTCCGCGAATCAATAATCACCCAGCCAAAGCAACCCATATAAAAGTATATTATTCATTTCCTTCCCTCACAACACACACATTTTCAGGACTCTGTATTAGAAGAACACCTCTAGTCTCTCAAGTCCCTCACACCAACATACAACTATGGCCCCAATTGCAGTTGGAGATGTGATTCCAGACGGTGCTCTCTCCTACTTGGACGACCAGAACCACCCACAACAGCTCTCCCTCCACTCTCTCGCCGCCGGCAAAAAGGTCATCCTCTTCGGCGTTCCCGGAGCCTTCACTCCCGGTTGCAGGTAATCATAACTCTACCTCTTTACGTTCTCTCTTCTTCTCCTTTTTAAAGGGATTTTTTTAAAAAAACAAATTAAGCAAATTAGGTCCTTATATTTGGCGATTGTGTCATTTTGGTATGTAATTTTAATTAATTCGATTTTGATTAAGGATTTATAATTTTGTCTCAATATACCTAATTGATTATTTTTAGTATTTTTTTTATGAAAAATGTGTATATGAGCAACATGTGCCATATTTTTATAGGCAATATTGGAACTTCTTGACTTAGGCTTTCTTTGAGAAATTGTCTATTTTAATTGGTTATTTAGTTTTTTTTGGCTATATTAGTTTGGCTAAAATAATTGTATTTGGAAAATTAATTGACTTTTTTTTGTAATTGATTTGATGATTGTGAGAGAAAAACTTAAAATGATTATGAATTATATATGATATTTTATCTTATTAATTATTTTAATATATTTAATCTTTTAGTAAGCTATTTTATGCCAACTCTCTTACCAAACACCCACAGAGCCGGCTCGGCTTTGGGCCCCCACAAATTGAGTGAAAAAAAGGCCTCAAAATTTTTTCAACTATTATGCTGGTTCACAAAAAAAATCCACCAGAATTTGAAAATTGGTGAAAATTCAAAACTAATTGTTGATTGTTGTAGTGAATTATTTAAATAGATGACTGTTTTTATTGGCAAAAATTAAAAAATCGATTGATATGGTGAATTATTTTAAATTAATAGATGGTTATTTTTCAAAAGTATGGATTTGCATATAGAACATGATTAATTATACTAGTTACAATTGTTTTGGGGAAAATAAACTTTTCAAATTTAAAATTGATTAAAATTTATTTTCAGTTAACTATGTTACGAGAAAAATTGAATATATTAACAATTTAATCTATTGAAAATAATTTAGTTAATAAGTTGAATTATGCAAATTAGATTAGCATTTTTGTAGTTAAAAATTCGAGAAGGGTGATGTTTAAGGGTATAGTTTGTTCACTTTTTATTTTTATTTTTATTTTTATTTTTATTTTTTTTGAGAACGATCAAAACACGACCATGACATTGCTAAACTGAAAATAAAGAGTTTACATATTTAGCTAGCTCGTGTGCAGGTTCAACTAAGTCCCTGGCTACCTTAGTTATACATAGAAATGCAAAACATTTACTGATAGACCACATGTCTTGGATAACTAGATCCATCTCCCAATCCAGCTTGCAAGATTGTATTCACTTTTTATTTAGTATTTCAGCTTGAATTATTTTAATTTTTTCATTTATTGCAAAGTTTGTTATATATTTAAATAAATTTTAATAATTATATATATGATCAAAATTTAAATACATGATTTTGATCATATATATATATATATATATATTTTTTTTTAAATGTACGAGAGACCTCATATCAAGAGTTCGCTTTAGGCCCCTAAAATGTTAAAGCCAGTCCTGGTTATGCTCAACTAATTCAGTGATCATTTTCCTTCAAAAATCTTAATTGACGTTATTAATTTGGACCAAATTAACATAAAATCTAATCTTCAGGGTTAAATTAAGTTAATTAAAATGGCATGAAGCGAATGACACGATAAACAAAATGTAAGAACAGCTTTACAATTTCTAATTTTTTTTTTAAGATGACGGAAGTTAGTTGTTAAAGGGACGGTTAGGCCGCTTTGGGCTTCAACCCCTTTTGGATTTTCTTTATCCTCAACAGGGTGTTGTGAAAGGCAGTCCTCGGTGGCTTTGTTTGATTGCCAGATTAATTTAGAGGGGATTGGATACCATAGTTTATAGTTAGAATTAGAGAGTAAACATAAGTAATATGATTATAGATGAGAATTTGCTTCACTGAACTAGATTACGTAGGATTAGTCTCACGATTAATAGTTATGGATTGACGATTTCATATGATTATGTTATGTACCTTATAGAAGCGGAATTAGTACAATCTTATTATATACCATGTTTGTTTGGAATCACTAGATACAAATTACATGGTGTAACGCATGAAACTACTTTGATCTTTTTCACATGTTAGTCCAAACTCCCTTAAGTCCTGTTTTGTGTCCTCCTCTCGGAAATCAATATACCTATGTCCAAATTGGACTAGTTATGAGTTCAATTTTTCATCCAAATATTGTATAAAGTAACCCAATCCCCATATAAACGTGGGTTATTTTTATTTGTTAAATGAATGAAGAAAATAATTCCAAGGGTTTAATTTAATCTGAACAATTTCATAGAGAAGTGGTATTAGCTATCTCTATTAGGCTTAATCACGAGATAACAACCCCGCAATCAAACACCATCAGACTGTCTGACATGTGAAGCAGTTATTGTTAGGATCAAAAACACCCAAAGAATTATCTCACACACACAGAGAACACAATATTTACGTGGTTCGGCCCAATGCCTACATCCACGGACAGAAATGAGAATTATCACTACAATGGAGCAAAAATACAATTACAGAGGAGGAGATGAAACTCACTCAACTCACAGCTCTCACTCTCCAATTTCTGATGATACAAACCCCTCCTCACTCATCTCAATTTATAACCAAGAGAGGAGGAGTAGGTGAAATGCTAGCCATAATTGGCCAAGGTAGTGCCACCCTCACTATCTTCCTTTAGTGAGTTGGTGTAGCCCTCCACCACCTTCTTTTACAACATGGTGCTACCTACACTATGTGAATGGTGGGCTCATTACCATGTGGGTAGTGGATGGAGCCAACAGTTATCGGCCCATTACTTATCCCTCCTAATTTTGCAATCAAACAACATGAGTTCGAAAACTTCATAGATTCTAAGCAAAAAGCAGTAATAATTTCTAAGTAGAATTTTATTGTTTGAAGGTTAAGATACAATCTGGTCATGTATGTGAATAACAGAGATGTCTTTTGATTGATTGAAAACAAGTGTAAATATATATATATATATATATATTTTAAATCTTTATAAAATTTTGGAATTAATTTCACCTTTTTTGAAAATAAATTAATATATCAAATAAATTTTTAATTTTAATGTTTTTTTAAACAAAATAAAAACGTTACCAAACAAAACTTTAGACTGCATTTGCAGGGTTTATTTACCACTTAATTATGAACTCTGTGTGAATTAATTTAGTTGTTGTTGGTTTGAAACAGCATGAAACATGTACCAGGCTTCATTGAGAAAGCAGAGGAGTTGAAATCAAAGGGTGCTGATGAAATTTTATGTATGAGTGGTATGTTTCTAAATTTCTCCATTTCAAACTCTCTTTTCTTTTATTTTTCAATCAACAATAATGTTATACTATATTATATTTATTATCATATTTATCAACACAATATTAGTATAATAAATTTCATTACTAATGCATATCTCTAATGCAGTATTACTAATTAAATTAAAATTTTAAATAATAAAATAAAATGATAAAAATGTATAATTATTATAATATTACTTCAAATTTATACTTTTTGTTATTGAGACATCATGAATGGTTAGACTCTGGTAGACTGTTGTCACTCTGAGCCATCATTATGAGGTCGCTACTTCAATGCTTTTAGTAGACTGTGGTCCTTGAATATGAAGCAAATTTTGTTTTGGCATGACGTATGAAATGGCTCGACTTGTTTAATTTTAAGTCAAGAAGCATGGAATCTTCTTTCTTAATTTATTATTTTCTTCCATTTTAATGTGGTCATATTTATATGATCAGATTTTGAAAATTTTAGGATAATTTTAAAATTATGATCTGAGTGTGAAATTAAATTTTGAATTTTGAGGTTTTGAATTATGAATTGAAAAGAGAAAATTTATTTGGCTATGAATTTTGAAAATAGTTTTGGGATTATTTATATATATATATATATATATATTTTTTTTTTTTTTTGATTAATTGATGTATAGAATGTGAGAGGAGAGAGAAAAGATTAGGCAAAAAAATGATTGATTGATTAATTAATTGATTAATAATAATAAATAATAATAAAAAAAGAGAGAAGAGAGGAGTTTTGAAAATAATTTTGAGGTATATTTTAAAAATATATGTTTGGTTGACATGTGATATTCAAATCATGATTTAAAAATAGAGTTAGAATTTTAAAAAGTAAACTAAACGCTACCTTATATTTTGAAATTCTAATCTCCTTATGCACTTATGAGTTCATTAAGATAGGGAGACAATGATATTGATATAAAGAATTCTTGATCAGTTTAAGACATAAAAATGTATATTGCGTACCGGTTCTATGTAGAAAACAACACAATAGTTTCATTGACATCAACATCAAAATTGCCCTTATTAACTTCCAAGACACTAAAATGAAAAGAGTTCAAATTGGGTTCCCATTACTTGTAGTCTTACTTGGTTCAATTAAGTATAGTTAATGCATATTTATACAATATTGTATACTTAGATCACATCACATTTTTGGACTTATTAACAAGAATCATATGTGAAAGATTCCTTGGCATTAAGATTGATGCGAGGACTATTTTGGGTCCATATATATTATATTATCCAGCTAGCTCAATGCCAAAGAGACTATATAATAAATTGAAAGCACAGTGTTTTGAGATTGATGGACATTTATATCATATTATCCAGCTAGCTCAATGCCAAAGAGACTATATAATAAATTGAAAGCACAGTGTTTTTGAGATTGATGGACATTTATATCCATGTCCTTTCTAAACATAAATTCATATATCCTAAGGGAAGTGAGGTTCATGGTGTGTAACCTAATTCCATCCTCCATTTATATCCATGTTTTGAGCCAACTAGCTCTTCTCTAAGCGGATCAAAAACCTACTGACATAATTTGGGAAGAGGTGAAATTCAAGATCATATGTCAAGAAAGACTTTGCCGACACCATTAACATAGGGCTTGGATTCGAAAGTCATCTAATATTAAAGTTTAGAATCTTTATTAGGATTCTCCGTGGATTAGAGTCCAGTTGTGAGAGGGGTTGTAGGCCCATTGTCACAACTAGACTCCAATCTATTAGAAAGTTAAACTTTTTCTTTTTTAAATGTTATATTCTACATTAACATACCATTTTTATTATTTCTAATATATTAGTGAAGCAATTAACACGAGAAATATAACCATATGTGCCAAGTGATTTTTATATGAAATGAGCTATAATTGTGGCTAGTCAAAGTTTACCGCCTGTATAATTTTGATTATTTGGACTTGCACATGCACAAAAAATTTATACACAAAAAAGCAAAGAATGTCTCACAAATGGGTGGAACTCATTTGAGACCCACTTTGTTGTGAGACATTCTTTATTTTTTGTTTTTTTACACTTTTTAATATCTTTTTCCTTTTTATTCGTATTTGCAGTTAATGATCCCTACGTTATGAAGGCATGGGAAAAAACTTACCCAGAAAACAAGCACGTCAAGTTCCTAGGCGATGGCTCAGCAAAGTACACCCAAACTCTTGGCCTTGGGCTCGATGTTTCGCAGGGAGGGTTAGGCATTCGATGCTGGAGGTTCGCTCTCTTGCTCGATGACCTCAAAGTGAAGGTTCAGTCACAACCCTGGGGAAGACCCGATTCCCACGTTCTCCGATTCTCCACCGCCACCGCAGCCTCCGTCGCCGTCTTCTCTTTCTCCGGCATACCCAGCAACGGTTCAGTCACAACCCCCTCGTGGTCCGAACTTTATTCGGAATTAGATCGAATCCATTTCTGGGTTGCGATGTACAGTGGGATTGAAATTAGAGAACTTGGGTCAGCAAACGTGGATCAGCAAACGTGGGTCAGCAAACGTGGATTAGCCAACCAGCACTGCAGTGTTCATCCATGTTCAAAACATGAGACCGAAATTACCAAACGTGGATCAGGTATCCCACAAAATCTGCATTCAATCCCAAAATAAACCTATATAGAAAAAAAACAAAAAAGGGCAAATATGTCCACACCCATATCACATAAATACAAAATGGGACTTAACTGTCCACAAAATATGCCAAACAGGACTTGTCAATCCAAAAGAATGAATGTGGGATCAAATGGAGTAATAGATTGATAAATAGGACTTTCTGATAATTTCCCCTTAAATTAATCATCCGGTGACCATACATATTCACTACAAAAATAGTTTATAAATGAAAAGGAAAAAACCACTCAATACAACAAAAATACCTTTATAAAAATGTAAAGGTGAAAACTAAGCTAGTGACAAAAATCTTAAAAAGATAGGAATATCAATATGCAATTTTTAAAAATAAATTAAATTAATGATTATGGATTATCTATTGAAATCGAATTTTTTTTTGAAAATCGTTTCCTTATAGCATAATTAAATTTGTCTTTCTTCCTCTAATATAAAGTCAACCCCAAAAAAATCAAAGTCATACCCACTTTCCGCTTCCGCATCATAGAACGTTGGTAAAATTTTTGTGTTTGGGAAGATGATTGGATTTTTTTGTGGTTGGATGTGATGTTTGTGAGAGAAAAAGTGAAATGATTATGGGTTTGATGTGATATTTTGTCTTATTAGCTATTTTAGCCTATTTTGTCTTTTTGTGATTTTTAACCTAAATTTGACTATTTTTTTTCTTCCCACACATATGAGGTCACTACTTCAATGCTTTTAGTAGACTGTGGTCCTTGAATATGAAGCAAATTTTGTTTTGGCATGACGTATGAAATGGCTCGACTTGTTTGATTTTAAGTCAAGAAGCATGGAATCTTCTTTCTTAATTTATTATTTTCTTCCATTTTAATGTGGTCATATTTATATGATCAGATTTTGAAAATTTTAGCATAATTTTAAAATTATGATTTGAGTGTAAAATTATATTTTGAATTTTGAGTTTTTGAATTATGAATTGAAAAGAGAAAATTTATTTGGTTATGAATTTTGAAAATAGTTTTGGGATTACTTTTATATATATATATATATATATATATATTATTAATTGATGTATAGAATGTGAGAGGAGAGAGAAAAGATTAGGGAAAAAAGTGATTGATTGATTAATTGATTAATAATAATAAATAAATAATAAAAAAAAAAAGAGAAGAGAGGAGTTTTGAAAATAATTTTGAGTTATATTTTAAAAATATATGTTTGGTTAACATGTGATATTCAAATCATGATTTAAAAATAGAGTTAGAATTTTAAAAAGTAAACCAAACGCTACCTTATATTTTGAAATTCTAATCTCATTATGCACTTATGAGTTCATTAAGATAGGGAGGCAATGATATTGATATAAAGAATTCTTGACCAGTTTAAGACATTAAAAATGTATATTGTTATCTTACTAAGGAAGGTTGGATACTTCGTTCAAATTTTTCTGTCTCTCAACTCAAGTAACTTTTCTATCATACGACAAGAGAACAAGAAAAATTCGAACAGAAAATTCCATGTCTCCCACATGTGTCTTGTGCATACCGGTTCTATGTAGAAAACAACACAATGGTTTCATTGACATCGACATCAAAATTGCCCTTATTAACTTCCAAGACACTAAAATGAAAGATTTCAAACTGGGTTCCCATTACTTGTAGTCTTGGTTCAATTAAGTATAGTTTATGCACATTTATACAATATGGTATACTTAGATCACATCACATTTTTGGACTTATTTACAAGAATCATATTTGAAAGATTCCTTGGCATTAAGATTGATGCTAGGACTATTTTGGGTCCATATATATTATATTATCCAGCTAGCTCAATGCCAAAGAGACTACATAATAAATTGAAAGCACAGTGTTTCGAGATTGATGGACATTTATATCATATTATCCAGCTAGCTCAATGCCAAAGAGGCTATATAATAAATTGAAAGCACAGTGTTTTGAGATTGATGGACATTTATATCCATGTCCTTTCTAAACATAAATTCATATATCCTAAGGGAAGTGAGGTTCATGGTGTGTAACCTAATTCCATCCTCCATTTATATCCATGTTTTGAGCCAACTAGCTCTTCTCTAAGCGGATCAAAAACATACTGACATAATTTGGGAAGAGGTGAAATTCAAGATCATATGTCAAGAAAGACTTTGTCGACACCAGTAACATAGGGCTTGGATTCGAAAGTCATCTAATATTAAAGTTTAGAATCTTTATTAGGATTCTCCAATGGACTAGAGTCCAGTTGTGAGAAGGGTTGTAGGCCCATTGCCCACAACTAGACTCCAATCTATTAGAAAGTTAAACTTTTTTTTTTTTTAAATGTTATATTCTACATTAACATGCCATTTTTATTATTTCTAATATATTAGTGAAACAATTAACACGAGAAATATAACCATACGTGCCAAGTGATTTTTATATCAAATGAACTATAATTGTGGCTAGTCAAAGTTTACCGCCTGCATGATTTTGATTATTTGGACTTGTACATGCACAAAAAATTTATACACAAAAAAGCAAAGAATGTCTCACAAATGGGTGGAACTCATTTGAGACTCACTTTATTGTGAGACATCCTTTATTTTTTGTTTTTTTTTGCACTTTTTACTATATTTTTCCTTTTTATTCTTATTTGCAGTTAATGATCCCTACGTTATGAAGGCATGGGAAAAAACTTACCCAGAAAACAAGCATGTCAAGTTCCTAGGCGATGGCTCAGCAAAGTACACCCAAACTCTTGGCCTTGAGCTCGATGTTTCGCAGGGAGGGTTAGGCATTCGGTGCCGGAGGTTCGCTCTCTTGCTTGATGACCTCAAAGTGAAGGTCGCGAATATCGAGGCCGGAGGAGAGATCAGTGCCTCCACTGCTGAGGAAATGCTCAAGGCTCTTTGATCAATTTGTGTGCTTTTCAAAACGTAGCTCTCTTTGAGTAAATTGGCTTGTCTTTGAACTTGTAACATCTTAATGTGGATGTAGAAGACTATGCTTGTGGTGTGATAATGGTGTTGGATGGGAATAAATTGTTGCATTATGGTGTTAATGAGTTTGAAAATGGTGTGAATGAGTATGAGAAATTGAATAGTAATCCCATTGGAGATGTTATTATAACTACTCTGTATATGCTCATGAAATCAAGTACAAAGAAAGTAACAAAGCCACATTGGGCAATCACCAACCAAAACACCCTTTAGATTAAGTTTGAATTTTGAAATTTATGAAAATAAAGGAAAGTTGAATTTACTTATATGGAAAAATTACGAAAAGAAAATATCAAGGTTTCAACTTTCTAATAAAATAAATCTTAAATTTTTAATTTTGTCAATTTAAACATTAATTTTTTAATTTATTTTCAATTTAAACTATTTATCTATTTTTGTTAAATAAAACCATCGAGAAAATAATATTTTAGTTATTAAATCCAATAAAAAAATGCTTTTTCGACATATTTTGTACAACTACATGAAGTATAAGGGAGCTTCTATTTCCATAGGCTATTTTCACTTTGTGCACATTCTTCTCCACATACTTTTATCCCAAATATACCCTCACAAGTAAAAAGTGTACACACACTATTCAAAACCAATTCCGATTGATAGTTCGAAAGTCTGATGGCTCGAATGGCTCGACACCAAAACAACGTCGTTTTGGAGTCCTTTTTTTTTCACTTTTTTCTGAACTGATGAAGAAGAAGAAAGCTGAAGAAGAAGAAGAAAAGAAGAAGAAGGAGCTGTGTTTCGGCATCAACACAAGGAGATGATGTTTAATCTGGGTTTCGACATCAAAAAAAAAATTGGTGATGATGTTGAAGAAAACTGATGATGTTAACCCAATTTTTCTTAATGTCGGGCAGGAATATGCAGAGAAAAGGAAAAAGAAGAAGAAAAATGCAGAGAAAATAGAGAAAAAAAATGCAGTTCGGGCCATCATCTTCAACATCATCATCATCTTCAACATCTTCATCATCATCTTCATCTTCATCATCTTCAACATCATCATCATTTTCATCAACAACAAAAAAAAAAAAAATTCCTCTGCAGATCCGAATCTCATCATCAATAATTATTTTTTTTTTTTGCAGATCCCGATCTACTTAGAAAAATGTAGAAATTTTTTTTTTTCAGATCCAGATTTGCGATCGCCGCCACCATCACCGACCACCGACCATCACCATCGATCGCCGCCACCATCACCGTCGATCGCCTCTTCTCTTCTCTCCTCTCTTCTCTCTCTCTCTCTCCTTCCTCTTCTCTTCCATCTCTGTCTGTTCGAAAAAATAAATAAATAAAAAATAAAATAACACTGCTCAAAACGATGTCATTTTGGGCAGTTCGGGCCATTCAAGCCGAATGAAATTCAAGTTACGAGTCATTTTTCATTCAAAACATACCCAAATCTATGTACACACCCAAAATTTAAACCTTCATTGAAGAAAGTTTTATTTTATTTTATTTTTTTTCTTGAACGCTCCATGGAAGAAACTTGAACCACCATTTTCAAATGAAGAAAATGGTAGCTCATTCTAGTATACAAGCAGTATTGCTGAGTCAAAAATAAAAAATAAAAAATAAAAATAAAAATTACAGTACGTAAATAAATCGGTTATGACGATAAAACTTTTTACCAGAATCTGTGATTGTGAAGAACTTTTTACTAAAATCTTTTTATTTAATTGTTCCATTACCTAAAAATAAAAATAATTAATTAATGATGGATGATTTTAATATTTAAACTTACATTTTCATTGATATTTTTTTTATAAACGCCAATATCCTTCTCAAATCAAAACTTTCGTCATACAAATCTTCTATAACGATTAAATAATAATGGTAAGATTTGAATGAGGAAGAACTCAATCAAAAGTAATGAGAGGGTTTGATAATGGATTCGAAAATATGAGCACCTTTAGAAGGTGACAATGTAAACTAAGGTCTGGTTTGGAGTGTTTTAAAAATTTTAAAAAGTCAAAAAATTATTAAAAAAAAAAAAATAAAAAATAAAAAAGTTATCACTATTTACAAATTA